TATAACTTTTGATTGAGAAGTCTGATCGAAAAAGTACGAATTGAGTTGGATTCTACGCACCCAAATTAATAAGAAAAAGTGTTTTCCCGAGAAATTTTGGTGTGGTTCGAATTGGCTATAACTTTTGATTGAGAAGTCTGATCGAAAAAGTACGAATTGTTTTGGATTCTACGCACCAAAATTAATAAGAAAAAGTGTTTTCCCGAGAAAGTTTGGTGTAGTCGATTTTTGGTAAAAAAGGAAGGTTATACACTGCCTTTTTTTGAGCTCCGAAAAAAAAATTGTCTGAGATCGACCCGGAAAAAAATTTTCTTATAGAATGTGGACTGTAGAATCCATAATTTCAAACAGTTCCAAGATTGGGCTACTAGTTCAAAAGTTACAGCCCTTTGAATTTTTTTTCGAAATTGGTTTCTAGTCTATAACTTTTGATTGAGAAATCTGATCGAAAAAGTACGAATTGATTTGGATTCTACGCACCCAAATTAATAAGAAAAAGTGTTTTCCCGAGAATTTTTGGTGTAGTCGATTTTTGGTAAAAAAGGAAGGTTATACCCTGCCTTTTTTTGAGCCCCGAAGAAAAAATTGTCTCAGATCGACCCGGAAAAGAAATTCTCTTATAGAATGTGGCCTGTAGAATCCATAACTTCAAACAGTTCCAAGATTGGGCTACTAGTTCAGCCCTTTGAATTTTTTTTCGAAATTGGTTTCTAGCTGGGAAAAATCTAATAATAAACAATTGACACGTATTCAAACTTTCTACTACGTGTGTTTCCAATGTTGTTTTATAAACTTACTAGGTATGGTTATATTAATTATAGTGTGGTTTGTTCGTAACTCCCAAATGCAAGGATCCACCAGAAAACCAACTGCGTTCCGCAATTTTTGGCATTTGTCGACATTTCAACGTAGAAAATTTGCCGTCGGCCGGAGATTTTCTTTTCCATTGCCTAAGCAGCGTTCACATTTCATTGTCAACCAGAAGCAAGAATACCGTAGCTTATAAGTTACCATTTTCTATAAAGCTTGGCCCTTGACCATAAATCTTGGTAAATTTGAAGTTGATTGACGCTGCAGATTTGCTTAAGGACTTTTGTGATTGTCAAACAGTCACATTTCAAGGAACAGGAAAAGGAGAAATTTTCAATTACCCATATTAGAGCTATCCGTGAGTCAAATATATAATTTCTAGAAAATTTGTGACTACATAGAATTTCAAAATTTTGTTTTCCAATAAATAAGAAGTGCAACCCCTTTATATTACATTTCGGTAGATCTTCTGGGAGGGCAATTTTCAGAAATCTGAGAACTTTCCGGAGGCGAATAGTCGTGATTTTAATTTGAAAATGCATAAGTTACAAGTGTAAATTCTTCTTTAGTCAGTTTTATTAAAGCAATGGAAGTCAATTTATTTGGAGGTAAAGACTCGAAAGGCGAATATCCTTGAAACTTTCCGGGATTGAATTATCTAAGGGCGTTATATATTCCGGATCAAAATATTTTAGGTGCGAATCCTCTATTATGTTATGTGGCGAGTTACCTTGAGTCTAAGTGAAGGGTGAATGAATCTGAGCTGAATTCTCGTAGTGGCAAATTTTCTAGGGCAGAATATTCCGAAGGCGATTCTAAGGAAATTTTATCTAAGGGCGAATATCTCGGGGGCGAATTTCCTTGGAAGCGAATAGCCTGAGGAAGCGGATCTACCAGGTATATAATAATGTGTGTTTTTACGTACAAAAGTCCATCAATGAACAATCGGAATATCTTTACTAAAACAAAGCGTTGTGTATTTATGTCATTTGTAAACATGAAAACGTACTGAAATCTATAAAGTTAGTTTCTAGTGTAATGGATTTGATTCATTATAATGAAAGCATTTTATTATTCATGAAATAATTTATAGACCGTAGCAATTTGGTAATTATTAAACGGGCGACTGCTGACGTCAGAATCCACAAACATTTAGTTTATTAAAGCGAAAATGTAAACCAACAATTGATTTTTTAAGGTGGGGTGTTTCGTGCCCAATTTTTAGTTGCGCTCAATTAGTTATACAATGCGGTACGCTGGATTGGGTAGTTTTCTCCATCCGAAAACAATTATCTGGAAGATTGATCCTTAAAACTGATCGGTGGATACCGAGGTGGTGTAATGCAATCAATGAAAAGTTACCGAATTAAGTATCAATTTCAGTAGTAACATTGTGTCCATATTTTGCTCACAAATCATATATTATATTATAATTTCATATCCGGCTCGAAGGACCATGAGCAAATTTAACAGCTTGATAAATGAATTACACTTTTATGTTTATTTTAGTTTAGTTTAATAATGAACTGTACTTTCTAATGTGATTCTAAAGCTGTAGATGAAGGAAATAAAAACGGGGTTGTGTACCTATTTCTATTTTGTTTCAGTCTTTAGGAAAAATACGTGTTATAAATGACTTGTCATAATTATTGACAAAGAAAAAATCTGTTTTAGTGCGCATCTGATTTGCAACAAACTTCTAGGACTATCATTGGTTGAATATTTATCTTATGAAAAATGTTTGAAACTTAGAGACAATCAAATTAGCAAGTTTCATAACGTTATACTATCACATAAAAACCAAATCTGAGTGAAACATCTTGGGAAATTGTAAACATTGTTAAGGAAAGGTTTTTGTCCCTGTAATACACGCTTCTTTACAACCCAACTTGCCTTAGGTGCTTATCTCCGCTTTTTGTTCAAGCACTGAAATTATAACATTACAGTCAGAGCAAAAGCGAAGTTTAATCTTTGTTCTTCCCTATAACAAAATTTTTTTTCCTTCCACTTTGCGAGGATGTGTCGTAATTGGAAAATAACATCCGCATACTCAATATCTAAAACGCTAATTTATATTTCTATAAAGTTAACTGCCTTTTAAGCTAACCAAAATATAAAAGTTCTCTTATTTCGGAACAACTTTGAAAACTTCCTCGATTTTATGACCCTTTGAAATGTAAAGTAGATGGGAATTCAAAAGTGTTGTAACAACATTACTGAATTTTATGTATTATTCAATAGGATTTCGGACGATTTTATGAAAATGCTATACGAAGGTGAGCGTGTACGCGTGCAAAAATCAATAGCTTGTTTTTTGGGGGTGGAATTAGGAAGCAGGTCACAAATAAATACCCTAAACCACCGAAGGAGATCGTGTAAACAACGTTTATTTACACTTGACTGCCGCGATTTAAATAAAAATGGGAATATTTCAGTGCCGTATAAAAAAAACCAAATATTGCGGTGTACTCATTTTCCAGAATCCATTTTGGTGTTTCTCTCATTTTTACTGAATCCTTTTTGTTTTGTAAAACGTTTCAACTAAACTCGATTGGTAAGTACATACACTCTTTACACTTCACGCCAGAGTTGATTGCATAAATAGTTACACCCTGCAGCTACGGGATATTTTGTTTTCAACTTTTTAGTCAGAAAAATAAAAATGCTTGATGTACTGCAAAGCTTTTCCATAAAAAAATCAAAAAATAGTACCAAGTAAAAACAAGGTTTTCGTCTTAAGGTGAGTAACCAGCGCATTTTCCATGAACTGATCAGTACTTCCCAAAAGGCCATAGCCGAGGCCATAGCGGTATGTTTTTCTTTACTAGAGGCATATATGGGGTCCGTTAACTTGGCCCCCCCCACTGAGAGATTTCATAGTCGTATTATTTTGAAATGAATGCGCTCGTGATGTGCTCATACGCGCCACTGATAATAACTCTTGCGCCATTATCGTTTTTTAGAAATCCGAAAAAACATTTGGGGGGGCCAAGTGAACGTAGCCCCCCCAGTACGTATTTTGTCCCTTGTAACTAGGTCACCTGATACATTTGGTTATGCGCTCAATTGCGCCACTTGAATTAAAGCTAGCGCCATTACGGTTAAGCCGTGACAAATTTTCAAAAAGTGGGGGGGCCAACTTAACGTTTTTAAAAGTTACTATTTTTAACATCTTTTCATACGAAATTGTACTCTCAGGTATGCGCTGAAATGCGCCGTAAAAAGATATCTTTGCGCCATTATTGTTTTTTGGCTATCCTTAAATATATTTGGGGGGTCCAAGTGAACGGAATCCCCCATAACGCATTTTGCTACCGGTATTTGTGCCACTTGATACATCTGGTTATGAGCTCAATTGCGCCACTTGAATTAAAGCTAGCGCCATTACGGTTAAGCCATAAAAAATTTTTAAAAAGTGGGGGGGGGGCTAACTTAACGTTTTCAAAAGTTACGTTTTTTAACATGTTTTTTTTTACTACATCGTACCTTTCATCATGCGCTAAAATGCGCCGTAAACAAAAATCTTGGCGCCATTATAGTGTTTTAGAAACACTATACAGGGTGTTTTTTTGGGAGCTTTAGTTAAACGATTCTGGGAAAGTAAAATAGGTAGGTTTTTAAAAATTTGTATTTAGGAGTTACTCCGAAGGCCGAATCGATGTAAAATATTTTCAAAATGGACGCACTTCCGGAAATAGCTTTTGAAAACGCTAAGTTAGACCCTCCACTTTTTAAAAATTTTTTATGGCTTAACCGTAATGGCGCTACTCGCTAGCTTTAATTCAAGTGGCGCAATGGAGCTCATAACCAGATGTATCAATTGGCACAAATACCGGTAGCAAAATGCGTTATGGGGGATTCCGTTCACTTGGCCCCCCCTCCCCCCAAATATATTTAAGGATATCCAAAAAAACAATAATGGCGCAAAGATATCTTTTTACGGCGCATTTCAGCGCATACCTGAGAGTACAATTTCGTATGAAAAGATGTTAAAAAAAAAGTAACTTTTAAAAACGTTAAGTTGGCCCCCCCACTTTTTTAAAATTTGTCACGGCTTAACCGTAATGGCGCTAGCTTTAATTCAAGTGGCGCAATTGAGCGCATAACCAAATGTATCAGATGACCTAGTTACAAGGGACAAAATACGTACTGGGGGAGGGGGGGGGTACGTTCACTTGCCCCCCCCCCTCGCCAAATGTTTTTTCGGATTTCTAAAAAACAAATAATGGCGCAAGAGTTATTATTGTGGGCGCATATGAGAGCATAATCGAGCGCATTCATTTTCAAAATAATACGACTATGAAATCTCTCAGTGGAGGGGGGGGGGTTCAAGTTAACGGACCCCAAGTAACATAACACCAAGCTCGCATTCAGAAAGACCATTTTTAAACAACTTCCAGAACACTACAGTGTGAAGTTGGAATGCCATCAGAGAAAGTTGAATTACTCATTAATCTGATGAGCACAAAATTTTAATATAGCAGCACAAATTAGCACAAAATTATAGTGAAAGAAAATTTTGAAAATATCAATGTTGACGCTCGAGCATAAAGTTGGAGTGTCATCAGAAAAAGTTGAATTACTTATTAATCTGATGAGCACAACATTTTAAATTAGCAGCACAAAATAGCACAAAATTATGACAGCTTAATTCATTTCACGGACCCGAGAAGAAAACTATCATGAAAGAGATAATCTCTTACGTTCAACAAAAGCTCCCTATAATAATTAGGTTGCCTATCTAGTGCAGTATGATCTTTGCAGACCTACACAATACCTGTATAGTATCCCAAGCACTGGCAGAACTGCTGATCGCCTTTCTCCATGCACCTGCCTCCGTTTAGACATGGATTCCGACTACAAAACTCCATCATATCCTCCTTGAAACTAAGCAGTTTAATCTTGAAGTCTTCGTCGAATCTCACCCTGAGCGATGCGTTCAATGCGACACCAACACTCGCACTTTTTTGCCTTACCGATAACGTGTTGAGATACGACGATATTGCGATCGGAGCGTGTGGGACCAGTCCGTTTTCGTTCTCTTTATCGCACAGGAACCAATGCGTTCCGTTATCGGCGTAATTGTCGTAAATTTCTATTACTCCCATGTTCGACGAGCACTCCCCATCGCTTAATCTCACATGGTGAATTTCCAAAGATATTATGTACCCTAAAGGGGCGACAAAGTGCTGGATGAAATTGACATTTGGTAATGGAGCGTGCGGGTAGTTCAGATGCATTAATACTCCCACGCTGTCGTTCTTCAGCTCGTGTACTTTTTCCGTTTCCGAATCGCTTACAATCTTGTAAATCGCCTTAAAGCCGTTTCCGTGGGGATTACCGTCGGTTTTAAGCGCAATCTGAAGCTTTTCGGTGGTCGACATAAACGAACCTTCGCTAACTAGCTCATTGTTTTGGAACGGCTGAAATCCGGGCACCTGGCTACCCAATTTTACCTCCAACAAATTACCTCCCCCGTCATTCTTATCTTGATTGGAAGATGTGCCGATGCTATACTCTTTAAATTCTAACCAAACTCGCCTTCCGCTAGGTGCTAGGATTGTGATTGAGCAATCCAAGTGTGGCAGTAGAAACAGCGGATAGTTGGGACTGACAAGCACGCCTTCTTTGGCGGTGAGAGTCTGAGCCGGGCACGAAGACACATCGACGGCGTACCAATGGAGAAGAAATCCGCTTCCAGATATGGAGTAATCGGAGTGAAAGTGGACTATGGCCTCGTGATCGTCGGATACAAAGTCAAATCTGTGCATATCGGCGTCGTGGTTTCCGCACCATTTCACGCTGCTCTCCTCATTCTTACTCTTCACCTCAACGTAATCGTACAAACATTCGAGCTGCGACTCCATGTTTAATTTCTGGAAACGTATCACGATGCGTGTCCTCTCCGGGCCGACAATTCTAATGAAAAAATCCAAGTTGTTGTAGTAATACTCCGGATAGTTCGGCGTAGTCAACTGCCCCTCGGTTCCGTTCACAGTTCTGTTAAAATTAATTCCGAAACCGAGCATCTGATTGGGCCGCTTGCACACGTATCCGCCGACCGCGTCGCACTTAATTGTATTCCAATACAACCCACTCGGAAGCGAGCTGGTCGGCGTCGGCATCCACCGCACGCCCAAGCACATCGGATTGATCAAGGCGTTCGTCTCTTCCGGCGCGTAGTTCGGAAGCCAGCCGGAGTAACTCATAGCGTTTCCGTCGACCCAGTGAAATTTACCGTTACTTCCAGATCGCGCGCCGAACCAATAGATCGCGCTCGTCCGATATTCGGGATTCTTTCGTATGTTCGCGCTGATAAAGTTCTCCTCTTCGGGTGTCAAAACTGACGTGAGTTGGCCCTTGATTCCCATGCAGATTTGCTGGGCGGTCGACCATGTCACCTCAGGGTAACTGACGAAGAGGTAGCAGGAGTTGTTGAACATTTGAAGGCGATCGTCGGAACACTGCATTACTGCAACGAACATTCACTTTAGTAATTTTGTGATATTGTACAGTCACGGACATAATTAATGACTCATGTGACATTAATTATGTCAGCGGCTACACACAATCAGAAGAAAGCACGAGCTGAAAGGTACTATGAGAACTTCTTAAAGGTGCAACAAATTACATCTACATTTAAGGGCGTTCAGACACTTTTCATGTACAGAATCTCTCCCATAATGGCACAAAATGTTAAATTATCAACGGTGGAGTTAGCAAAATGCACTAACGGCAACAATTTACATACTTTAGTACAAAACACATGCAACTATGCATACACAAATTACAGCGAATAAATCGATACGCATTGAAGCCAAGCCCCACGTACTCATCAAAGCGTATTTAACAAATGAATACTAAACGTCCGCTTACGGCTATAGAAACGGATGAAAACATTTTCCATTTTCAATAATGAAAAAGTATACGAGGCTTCCGTTTTATTTAATTATCTTACACTTGAAGTAATTAATTTCATCACGCCGCCACAATTACATTACGTCTTCGCGAGCACGGGAATTCTTAAGCTAATTATGTAATAGTAGTCCTGGCAGTGATGGATGCATTGTTCAAACTCGTTAATTCGCAGCGAAACACTGAGCGTCGGGGAAAAGTGGTTTTGTCTGCTCGATTATCCAAAGGATCTAATTTTTGGGGATGGTACGTACACGTGTGTGTCACTTTTTGACAGTTCCACGCATATGAAAATAATTCTAGCGCTTTAATTTCTGCAGAATTTGTGGCAAATACAATTAGCCCAGTTTGCAAAACATTGCAGAGATACATCATTTAAGTATTTTAAAAATGTTTCTGAAGTAGCTGTATACGTTATCTGAAGGAATCAACCAAAGTACCTACTTTGGATATTTTGTTCAATTTTTCGAGTGAAATTGGGAATTGAGGGTCCTGCAAACAGTGCGTCGGTCTTTGTAAAAAATATCAAAAAACATTTTCAACTCGGGTTGAAAAACTCCACTTACTTCTCTAGTTTTACAAAGAACTATTTAATGGGCCATAAACAGATGCATAATACATAGTCATATTCGTTTAACAAAATCCTTATACCGAACTTTATTAGATATATAAAAGCGCGAGTAGAGCAAATAAATTTAAACCTTAGAAAAGGAGGTACGAAGAGACACTACACGGTACAGTTTCTCCAAAGCAACACTTGCATTAATAATGTAGAAAAAATCTTCCATTACTCCATTAAGTTAAAACCAGCCTGCCTTTTTTTGAGCCCCGAAGAAAAAATTGTCTCAGATCGATCATTTCAAACAGTTCCAAGATTGGATTACTAGTTCAAAAGTTACAGTCCTTTGAATTTTTTTCTAGTCTATAACCTTTGATTGAGAAGTCTGATCGAAAAAGTACGAATTGTTTTGGATTCTACGCACCCAAATTAATAAGAAAAAGTGTTTTCTCGAGAAATTTTGGTGCAGTCGATTTTTGGCTAAAAAGGAAGGTTATACACTGCCTTTTTTGGAGGCAAGAAAAAAAATTGTCTCAGATCGACCCGGAAAAAAATTTTCTTATAGAATGTGGCCTGTAGAATCCATAATTATGCCTCCGAAACGAATCAATAGAATTTAAAAAGCAAAGCAGATTAGTAATCACGATTAAATTGGCTTTCAAATAATGTGCCATTTGCCATAGGATTCCATTTAAAATTTTAGGGGTTAAGCTTCCTACGTAGAGGGGTGAAGACTTGGGTTCGTTAAAAAAGTTGTCCCCCTCGAATACAAAATTGACGTGTTCGAGGATTTTTCGAAATTTCTAAATTTAATACCCTAAAAGCCCTCTGTATACTTCTCGTTGGGCCACTCTGTATATCCAACACTAAACAAGTCTTGATTCAGTATAACTAAAATAAGAGTAATAATTGTCGTATTAAAATCATTTTGCCAAGTGATAATCTAGAGCAAAACTTAGAAATTGCCATGGAGAAACTTGATAAACGATATAAATGCAATAAATGATGTAAATCTAATAAACGACACAAATGAAATACATTCTTTAGCAATGAATGATGATTTATTCAATTTTATAGATATCACGAGATTTAAAAAAATGTATAATAAAAAATATAACAAACATGAAGTTAACTTTAAAATCATACTTTATAATCCACCACAAAGAATTGAATTTAAAGATTTCTCTTATACATAAATGATTTACCCTGAGTTTTTAATAAAGTCCAATCCACAAGTGACTGTTTAAATATTCAAGAGGACATTAACTCAGTGATTAAGTGGTGTATTAAAAATAAACTGAAACTGAATATCGATAAGTGTAAAATCCTAACTTTTACTAGATCAAAAAATCCTTTACTTTTTGACTATAAGATGAATTGAAAGGTCTTACTAAGAGTCACCTCCGTTAAGGACCTGGGCGTGTTTTTCAATACCAGCCTTAACTTCAACTTACACATTGAATACCTAACAAATGAGTGTTACAAACTTCTTGGTTTCGTTATCAGAAATACACTCAATTTCACGAATATACAGACAATGCTAACCTTATGCGTTTATTAGATCCAAGCTTGAGTATGCTGCATGTATCTGGTCTCCTCAAACTCTCAAATACTCAGACATGATCGAAAAAGTGCAGAAAAAGTTCATCCGAGTAATGATTTTTAAAATTATCCACATTTGATCCCTTACGGTACCCAGCTTAATTACTTAAATAGTACTTTGTAGTAATTGGGACTGCAGTCTCAATCAAAATAGGACACACACTACATTCTCCTGAGCGCGTATTAATGATTTTATGATTATTTGTATTTTTTCCTTTTTTGTATCATTATGTATACTTGTTAATAATAAAAAATCAAAATTGTTGATGTGGCCCACAGCTATGAGTGGAAACCTTAAAATAACCCTTGATGATAAATGAGTTTGACATATAATGATCAACCTAACTTCCACCCCAATGAGAGAAACGTGTTAATAATTTATTCATAGACAAGAAACCTTACATTAATGCTGTCTAATACAGCACATACTTATAAGTTTCCAACGGGCTATTATGACCTACAGGCCAGATGGTAATCGCCCCCCCCCCTCCCCGGGCCAGTCCGCCCCTGACTAAACCCCTTAGGAACTAAGATTCGGAAAAATGCCGAATATCCCTTACGATCCGACGCATCAACAGACAAAGTTAATAATAATAGCTAGTTAAATAGTAAATTAGTTAAATATAGAAACAATCAAAAGTGAATATTAATTCTTGAATTTAATTAGGCGTAAGTTTATAATTCACTAATGTTCATATATAGTATAGAGAGTAAGTAGCTTCTCTTTATACAAGGTGTAGACCCCTTGGATCATAATTCCTTTACCATAAAAGATCCCGAAAAAATTCCTAGAGCAAAATTGTACACATTTACCGTCGCCATATTTTTATTTATTTATTTATTTGTTTAACCAGACACCATACAGAATAAAAATTCCAATTACATGGCACTGGGGCCCTGAACAAACACATTAGGACTAATTAATATTAATTAATTAATTAGATCTAACTTGATTTATTATTGCATTTAGGGGATCGTGAAAAAAGTCGATATCATTCACTGAGGAGAACTTATTTAGAGTGATCAAGATCTTAATAAGTGGGAAAGTTGTGTTGCTTACTGCAAAAATAGTATTATTTTTCCTTAGCTTAACAAATTGTACTTTAAGCTTAGTTTTTTGAAGTAATTCGGAAGAGTTTAACAAATTGTGTAAAATTTGGAAGACAAATATTGTGGCGGAAATGCACCGTCGGGTTTCTAACCTCGTTATATTTAAGCCGAAAGTACAATTTAAGTAATTAAGCTGGGTACCGTAAGAGATCAAATGTGCATAATTGTGGGTTGACCTAAAAACATTACTCGGATGAACTTTTTCTGCACTTTTTCGATCATGTCTGAGTATTTGAGAGTTTGAGGAGACCAGATACATGCAGCATACTCAAGCTTGGATCTAATAAACGCGTTTTATAAGATTAGCATTGTGTGTATATTCGTGAAATTTCTGATAACGAAACCAAGAAGTTTGTAACACTCATTTGTTAGGTATTCAGTGTAAGTTGAAGTTAAGGTTGGTATTGAAAAACACGCCCAGGTCCTTAACGGAGGTGACTCTTAGTAAGACCTTTCCATTCATGTTATAGTCAAAAAGTAGGGGATTTTTCGATCTAATAAAAGTTAGGACTTTACACTTAAATTTGCTTTGGTTACCCCATTGTATAAGAAAGGTGATCATACCAAACCCGAAAACTATCCAGCCATTTCTATTTTACCAATATTCTCAAAAGTCTTCGAAATGGTTTTATATACACAAGTTTCGAAGCATTTTGAAGAGAATCATTTGTTTATTGGAAATCAGTTTGGATTTAGGAAAAATAGAAGCACTGCTGATGCGGCGATTCATTTCGTTAATTACTCTCTGAGGTGTTTCGAAGAAAGTGAGCACTCTATGGCCATTTTTATCGACTTAACTCGTGCTTTTGACAGTGTGGTGCACGAAATATTAATTACGAAATTGCAAGAGTTGTACAAAGTTGAGACATCTAGTGTAGCATTGATCAAATCATATTTGAGCGATAGAATGCAAGCTGTAAAGGTTGATGGTGATACATCCAAGTTTCTCAAGCTTCAAAGAGGCGTGCCGCAAGGTTCCATTCTGGGACCTCTATTATTTTTAATATTTATTAACGATTTTTCGTTCCACTTAACACTGTTACATGCCTTCAGTACGCGGATGATACAACTCTGCTAATATCGGACCAGAATTTAAATAGGGTTTATGAAGAGGCGGGTAGAGCAATTCAATTAACTGAAAATTGGTGTTTATCAAATGGACTAAGATTAAATTCTAGTAAAACGGTACAAATGCTAAAACCACCCTCAAACAAAATGATTTCCATAATCCTTGTTATGCTAATTTTTTAGGTGTTAACATTGATCCAAAATTAACGTTTAAGGAACATGTTAGTAAAGTAGCCAAAACAATTTCCGGTAACATATTTCTCTTAAGGCGTTTATCTGAAAACGTTTCCCCTAATATTTTACGTATGGTCTATTTATCAGTGATTCAGTTATATTACTGTAACATTGTTTGGGGTAAATGTACAAGTGCAACCCGAATATTTGCTCTCCAACGTCGTGCCATTAGAATTATAGGCAATCTGCAGTATAGAGAAGATTGCAAAAATGTGTTTATTAGATTCAGATTGTTGACATTTCCTTGCATATTTATACTACACTGTATTCTATATGCTAAGATTCGTGCCAATGAACTTTGTGTAAGGTCCTATATACATATCTAGTTATAATACACGAAATTGCAGTAATCTTGATCTAAAGTATTACCGATTAGAAAAAACTCACAGAAGTTTTGTAAATATTTCGTTTGAGCTTTTTAACCTGCTGCCTAGCCAGACCAGGGATTTACCGTACGATGCCCTGAAAACTAAATTAAAAAAATTCCTTACTGAAGGCGCATTTTATACTATTAATGAATTTAAAGACTGTGATTTATGTGTAATTTAACATTAATGTATAAATGTTGTGTTGTTTCCTTTGACTTCTGTAAATGTTTTATTGGCATGTTAACAGTAATAAATATTATTATTATTATTATTTATTATTATAGATATTTAGTTTCAGTTTATTTTTGATACACCACTTAATTACTGTTTTAAAAATATTTTTGAACACCAGGGGCTTGCTGTATTCCAGTGGCGTATCAAACTTCCGTTTTTTTAAAATAGAACACCTCATATTTCATTACCGATTTGTACCGAAAGTACTTGAAAAATACTTATTTTTTTTATCTATCATGTTATACCCGAGGTTACACCCCTAACTTTAACGATTTCGCTGTTATAACCTTTTTGCTCAAAATTTGACAGTTTTTCGAAAATCTTCTTGGCTTAATAAAGAACTTATAAGCTTTTTTTTAAGGGATCGATAGAGTTTCTGACAATGTTATTCACCACTCTGCTTAACAAGGTAAAATACCCTTCAATAATAACTTTTGCAAGTAAACTGCCCCTTAAACCTATTTGAGTCCGCACACAATCAGGGGTGAACTAGAAACAAATTTAATTTAATAGGGAGAATGTCAAGGTCAATTTAATTTGGTACACAATCTAAAATAAGCTTAAGGGCCCGCATGCACTAAAACTAATGGCTACGGTGACTTTGTGCTCATATCTCTATGACTTACCACGTTGGTAGGTGGTGAGTGCTACTATCTCAAAAAGTGCAACAAAATATAACACATTTAAACAAATGCAATTGATCAGTTTGCGGGCAATGCGAACCCCCGTATATTTGCGCTCGCACTACCCACACGTCGAAAGTAGGTAAACTTAAAACTTGCAACAAATAAAGAACTAACTTACCGTTTTCCATTGAGACGCGAGCCTTAAATCCTCCGAAATGATGCGAATAATCCGAACTAAATCTGACTTTTAGTTTCGATCCCCTACTAACGTATCGTAGTAATTTTAATTTTGAACTCCAATCGCCGCAAAGACGCCGACCTGATTCCGAACTATTCAAGGTTGACGAATTCGCGAGGTTCTCCAGAATTTCCAGATAGTCGTAGCTGCAACTGGAACAAAATTTGTAAAACGCTAGAGGGCCAATTTGAAAGTATATTCCTATGAAAACTTTATTTTCCGTAGTTGCAAGAGTGTAATGAACTAATAATGATCATATTGCTCTGATACATTTTCTTTTCTTTTCCTTAGAAGTTGTTGCAAGTAGGAAAGTAGCTGCTTAGAGTTTGTGTATAAATAATACAGCATTTCCACGTAGCCCGTGCAAAGTTTCAAAGTAATAATTGGTCTAAGCCCATTTGTGGCGGAATAAGATATAAAATGAAAAGTGCCTGGATCGCGTGTTAGGAAATTCGATACAGAAAGATTGTCGCTACCACAAAGCTTGTGTGCATGTGAATATATTGATCCTAAAATGCACATGGGGTAACTGAATGTAATTATTGAAGTGACGAACCATAATAATATTGTAACGTAAAATGGTTTTATTGTAGTTACTCTTTATCACTTACAATTTATAACATAACACAAGCGCATCGAAGCTGGAACTGACTCGCAACACGAATAACATTTTTTCTACAAGGGCGCCTTCGAAGTCTATGAGGATTTCTAGAATATTCGTAACTCGTGATTATACAAAGAAAATTTGTTTTTTTATGTCAACTCTCTAGAGGGTTTACACAACTTTTTGAAGTTTATTGGATCAAAAGCTCCCCCATTTCCACCGACCACTTCAAAAGGGCCAGGATCGTAATCGCGTTGAAAAATGATTTAATCGATAGAGCAAAAAGAAAGTTTGCGGCGAGGAGTCACTCATAGAAAAGAAAAACTTTTTAATTCCATCATTGAAAAAACCGATCAGTTTGGTACGCTTCATAAATTCCATAAATATATGAAGACGCTTTAGATATCGATTTCAGAAGTATTTTATTTTCTATTGAATAACGTAAGGCTTTGAGACTTGGATTAGTTCCATCTCACCCCCTTCAATTGATCAATGTTTGAATTACATTACGATGTTAGCTCGTTCATTATTTACCGCTGTAGCATGTTTTTCAGACAAATTGCCAACTTCTGGCAGCAACTTCGCAGTTTTGTCAATGTCGCATTGTGTGATTTTCTTTACTAGTTTTCGAAGTATATTAACTTGAATTACAATCAATAATGCATGAATAAATGATTGCTGTAACTCTAACTGGGGGCTAATTTTAAATCTAAACCGTGCTCGGTAATGGGGTTAATTGATTAATTACAGGTACTGAAAACGCTACAGTGCCACAGAACTGTCAATTTCGCAATTGTAATTAGAGTTCTGAAAATTAATGTTTTTGGGAGTGCTAATTTTAGCGGTATCAAAATATTGACGTAAAAAACTTTGAATTTCCCAATTAACACAAACTGTAAAATTTTCCCCGCGTGATAATCATTTCTCCTTACCGCACTTTTTTGTGCTAATAAAAAAAGTCTAGAGAAAAAAGTTCATAGAAAAAAGGTCCGCCGGTAAAACAGAAACAAATCATAGACGATCGAGCCCCTTCTGTTCTTTAGAGAACGCGCCAAAGGGCTTCTCGAGTCAATTTGATACCAAGCTAAGGTTTTCTAATGACTGGGGCAAACCTGATAATCAAAAGATCCAAGTACCAAGGAAATGCTTGGGACTATTTTTTTTGAAAAAGGTTTGAGCTCTGGTTACAGTTCCGGATAGCCCTTCGAGAAGCTTGAACGTTTTTCTAAGGTTTTAACCCACATAGCATTCGATATCTTATGTATATACATTTTAAATCCATAATGTACAGGGAATATCCTGTCCATCTTATGTATATACTATGTATATTCATTATAGGATAGGCATATGTATTTTATGTTCAGTATGGATATTGTATAAATATACATTTTGGATGTGCTATGTATATACATGAGATTATATGTTATGTATATGCGTTTTGAATTTGATACATGCGTGTTCTGTATTACTCATTTTCCATTGTACACTAAGAGACTTAATAAACAAAAAGCTCCACTCCGTGAAAAGAATTTATTTATGAAGGTATAGACCAGAGCTGGGCAGAATACTTTCAAAAAGTATTTGAATACTAAATAGTAAATACTTTACACAAATCAAAGGTATTTGAATACTAAATACTTTTACGTTCAGCACAAGCGAATACTAGATACAGATACATTGAAAAGTATTCAAATACTTTAAAAAATAAGTATTCAAATACTTTAGAATGTATTCGAATACTTTCAAAAGTCTAAAGGTATTCGAATACTATAAAAAGTATTCGAATACTTTGAAAAGTATTCGAATACAGTAAAAAGTATTCAAATACTTGTCACTCAAATACATTAAAAATGTAAAATAGTATACTAGATAAAAGTCTTAATACTACTTAAAAAATCAAGTTATACTTTGTATGGGGTTAGCTTTTTTTATATTTCTATTGTTATATACAAATTTAAGGGGAGTAAAAGTAATAATTTCAAACAGTTCCAAGATTGGGCTACTAGTTCAAAAGTTACAGCCCTTTGAATTTTCTTTCGAAATTGACTAAATATTTGTGAAAGTATTTGAGTTACAAATACAAATACTGCTTCCATAAAAGTATTTAATTACAAAGTATTTGAATACTTTAAAGGATTTGAATACTAAAAAGTATTTACAAAATCGAATACTGCCCAGCTCTGGTATGGACGCTAGTAAACTTCCCGAATGTTAGAGGAATCTCTATAGAACATCCATTCTGAATGTATACAACATACATAGAATATCCTATTGAACATCTTTTGCATATTACAGGAATATTCATGATATATCCAGTTGTCAGTATACCAATATACATAGCATGTCTGATGCATATACATGCATATACATAAGACATCCAAAACGTATAAACTATGTATTATGTGAAGTCTGCCAAACTTATATCCCATGCGCATACATCGGACATTTGCGACATACTTTTCCACATTCTATGGATATACAATATTCCACGTGGAATGTATGTACATGGTATATGCAATGTATATAGGTCTGCTATGTGGGGACTGGCAATGATAAGAAAACTGTAAAGTTTTCGCTCTGAAAAACAAACATACTTCTCTTGTGGGGGAAGGCATGTCAATATTCCATATTTTTAAGTAGCGCGACTCATAAGAGACCCCCAGACAGCGGAATGTGTTTGGGGTGGCAAAAACCCGTGAACTATAACTAAACATAGCTAATTGGCACCCTCGTAGTAGAGAACTGTTCAATAAAAGGGAATTTTTATATAATCTTTATATTGATGAATACCTATGGGATTTATAGAGCCCTGTAGACATACCGTAGCGATTCTAATGCACACCTAAGGAAATAAACGAGAAAACTAGTTACCGACAGTTCGAATTGACAGCGTATGCAGCTTCTGACCTCACCACGGACCAGATTTTTTGCTCGCAGTATCCAGTATTTACGTCAATGCCAATATGATTTCGATCGCGCCATAAAGGGTTCTGGCATGGGTTGGCCAAATGACTTTTTGGATGAATTAATTAATTTCCTGAACTGGAAGTTGCTGAGTGGTGTTGTGGTGGAGCTTTCCGCTTTTAATACCGTATGGTGGAGAATGTAGTATCTTGCCTCCCCTGCATTTCGAGGTACCATCTGTCTTAGCTCTTCACACTCTCGCAGGAAAACCGTGAAACTTTCAGAAGGCGAGAGATTGCTTTTTCCGTTTCGTACATGGGTTCGGCGAGGTATTTAAGTAAAAATCTGGTGAGAGAGGCGGAATTTTCGAAGAGAATTCTTCCCAGGTAACCGCTACATTTTTTCGATCGAGTATTGATTTCTTAGCCGAACCTGAGGTGTCAACGCGGAGATTTCTTGATCGCGTAAAACAAATTCTCCACCAAAAGCGAATATTGTGATTTGGTATACGCCATTTTTGCCTCGCACCCAAAAGCGTCGCCATTAACAAACGTGGATGTCTTCCTAATTCTCTACTAGTTGCCATCAGAGGTACAACTAATAATATAAGGCTAGTTTATGCAGAAAGAAAACTTCATTGGGTGAAAGAGACGATCGGGCGGCCGATTTAATATTCAAGCGAACATTTTTCGTTTCTGTGCATATTTGGATTAAAGCATTCGCGTTTAAATAAATTGTTACTACGAAAGCGATAAGGTCCAAGGTGCAAAATATTTCATTGCGCCAGATTTGTAGTGGCAAGTCACGTAAAAAACTAATGTCAAACGCATCCAATTTGTTTATATGAAATGCGAACAAAATTATGTCCAAAATGGCTACCGGTAAAAAGGTTAAAGACAATTAATTCTAGTTTCTAAGTTACAAGGGTAAATTGCACGCCTGAAGCATGGTTTCGAAATTAATTTACAGCAAGCAATCCAAATTCAACTCAAGAGGTCTACCTATTCCTATTGCCTAAGACGTTCCACTATCCAATTTTCCAAAATTGCTGCTGCTTTCTAAAGGAAAATCCATCACAAATTTGTTTTGAACAGAAATCTAGGTGTTTGATTAATTACAAAAAATCCCGATGTTCAATTATATGTTGAAAACGTAAGCACGATATAGACATTAAAATTTTTATTTGAATCTGATATACCTAAGGAGTACCTCAATCTTTTAAATCATAACCAATGCAAGGAAAACTGGAATTGAAACTATCGTATTTTCATTAATACAGGGTGGGCCATTAGTGTGTGGGTGGACGATTGTAGGTTTATTAACGCGCATATATAAAAATTCATTGTGGGAGAATGTTGAAGGGCCCTTCAGGCTACAACCTAAAAATATTTTCACTGAAATGGCAATTGTTATACAGGGTGATTTATATCAAAGTTGCATTTTTTTAAATGGAACCCCCTGTATATTATTACATATTTCGATTCCTTGGTCAATGTTAGTGTGACTTTATGTATTACACATAATATCTAAAATGAGTAGTTTAGCCGCAATTCGTCGTTTTTTTTTCAAAAAGTAGATGTCCAGTAAAAATTCAATATCGCAGTTATCATAAAACTTAGAAGGCCGTGACTTTGCAGTGTCACTAATAATGAGATGTACTAACATACGCCGAACGACTAATGTTAAACTTTTTTTTCTGTTAAAAGAAATCACTCCGTCAATTTTCAAAATTTCAGAGGTAACTTGATTTTTTTTAAAGGCACTACAAAGTTTTTTTTATTGTATCAAATGGTAAATTTTATTACCTTTCTAACGATATAAGCATGTCGGTATGTATCCCTTATCTATTTTTTGTAATTCAACAGTTTCTAATAATTCAGTGTTTTTGCGATTTTTAAAGCCTCTCAGTAATCAGTAGGCCGTTAAAAATTAAGAACACAAATTCAAACGATAAAACATTTGCCCCCAATAAAACAAAACAAAAACTCATGTTTGTCGGATAACTGCGATATTCAATTTTTACTGGACATCTACTTTTTGGAAAAACGACGAATTGCGACTAAACGACTCATTTTAGATATCATGTGTAATACATAAAGTCACACTAAAATTGACCAAGGAATTCAAATATGTAATAATATACTTTGATATAAATCACCCTGTATAACAATTGCAATTTCGTTGAAAATATTTTTAGGTTGTAGCCTGAAGGGTCCTTCAACATTCCTCCACAATGAATTTTAAGTATGTGCGTTAATAAACCCACAATTTTCCAACCACACACTAATGGCCCACCCTGTATATTCAAAAGTATTAATTTGAGAGTGATCTAACCAAAGCATCAGGTTTTTGAGTTTAGATTATAAGAGAAATTAAGAGTAAGTAAACTTTCATTCATTACTGAGCCAGCCTTGGTATTAATATTTAATTGCAAAAGATTAATTGTTACAGTAAAATCTTTACCAGTGCCGTAGAAATTAAATTTTATTTTTGAAGCGCAGGGTGTTCAACCCCTGTAAGGGTAACTAGCCAGTTACAGTACCCGTACTCAATTGTTTGTAATACAATTTATTAATACTGTAGCACTCACTTGATGCTCTCACGTTTACTTTCCGCTTCTTTGTCCCGCGTCTCGTAGTCGACTGCCCGACGCGTACGCTCCCCGGTTATTACATAAGGAGTAAGGACAACTCGTCATTACCAAAATCTCTTTATTATATTTTATATAATCACCTTGGGCAAGTACGATTCTTAAATTGCGACAATATAAAGTTACACTGAAGAGGCGCATTATAGTCGTAAATAGGTGACATGTGACTTATGAAGTTTTTTAGGATTACTTAAGACCTCATTTCGAATTTGAGACGCATTTTTTTCACGAAAAAACTCAAATTATACGTCGAAAATTAACCTGTTTAACTGTATCACCTTAAAGGCGATCCATTTTTCAATTTCTCTTGGAGGAAGTATTCAAAGGGGGGACCCTACTATTCGTAACTTAAAGAAACGCCGTTTAATTGTAACGGTCGGTTATCTTTAATATCTTTGAGCGGATTCTTACTATTGAACTAACTAGAATTGATTAATTGAAGCTTTCAATACAGCAAAACGCGACTCATTTTTACACGAAATCAGACAAATGGTTCAGAACGTCTTTTCCAGATAAAAAATTTGTGATCTTGGACTAATTGGTGCACTTTCGGGGTAGGCAAATGTTCAAAATTAACATTGAGGTCGTTTTCTTGGCGAAGAAGCCATTTTCAATGTAATTCACGTTGAAATGGCGGAAACATGTAAGGGACAAGACCTTTAAACTGCACTGAATTATTCATACACACCCTCAGATTTTAGCGCATTGGAATATTGCGGCTGCTGTTGTTTTGTAGTGAAAGGGAATTTAACTTTCACCCCCCAAACATGTGCTTCAATAATTACACGGTTACGTTGCAAAATCGAAACCCCCAAAGGGATCACTTGGAAGCCCGTTTAGAATTTTATAGCCTTACTGATAACGCCTGTACAAAATGATGATTGTGCGTTATAAACCCGAATCTTCCACCGTATCTGCCCCTAACGCGCGAAATAATTCATTTCGAGGGAGTATCAGAGTGCGACACATTAAGCGCATTAGTTTCGTAAACGGCCGGCGGCGGCATATTTGCATGGGGCCTTTCTGAGCAAATATGTACAGACTCGTAAAAGCTCCGCAAATAAAAAAGTTATCGCCGCCGGCGACGGCCGACGCCGACGTCTGGAAATGAAATAAAAGATCAGGTACCCACCTCGGCTCGCTCTCCAGAACTAATTCCTCAAAATCTAAAATTAAACGGTAGCCCGCAGGTGCGGAAACCTCAGTCTCGCAGAGTACATTATCCGGGTACTGGCGCGGAAAACTGGGGCTCGTTACCGACGTTCTCGACTGCTGGCGGGAAAGTGTTACGGTCCGGTTGCAATCGGGAGGCCAATTGTCTTCTAGGGGCTCTGAAACAAAAATGCGCATACAATATAATGAAATACAAACGTCAAAAAAGAATGGCGCATAACACGCTTTATAGTTTATGGAAAACAACAGGTGTTTCAAACTCCCTTTGTGTAAGTTATGAAAGGAAAAATGGTGTTCCGTATTTTCAAGCGTGGAAAATTCGAGGCAGCCTTGCGTGCCTTATTTAAAATTGCTTTCTAGATGGTGCGATTGCGTTTTTCTTGCCCTTTTTGTTTAACAAAGGCGGTAATTATCGTCAGTGAGATTGTGAAATTTTGACAGGGATGCTGCAAACAGTACTTTAGGGGTTATCCTGAAATTAATCGACCGCATTATCACGACTTGAAGAATTCGCAATATTTTTCGGTCTACAATGAACAAATGGTATCGTATAGATGAGTTAGTCGCCAGTAAGAAAGTTGGAGAAACGGCTTCTTTGCATATGTAACTTCTTATGAAATCTACTGTCAATTCAGCGAGGTGCATAATGGCAACAAAAGGGAAGGTTTTTGCACCTGGTACGTTTGTACTGCACAAACTTACCGTCCATAGTTCAGGGATCAGGAGCCATAAACTAACTTTTGGGTCTCTAGTTTTAGCGAACTGTCCAAAAATAAAGTCGTATAGAGTGGTAGAGTCGAAGCAGAAAGTGGCTTCAATTCGAATCACTCCCTGAAGCGTATCCAATTGTATAATTACGAAAAGGGACTAAATTTGAAAAACATCTTTTTCAATTTCGTTACGTACAGGCACAGGTAAGTTCAAAGCGATTACGCCAGCAAGCGGAAACAGCGCGGCATTTGAATATATTTGTTCCTTTAAAAATTCGGGCTCTCGAAAATGCTTTTATGAAAATTGTTAGCGGAAGTGGAAATTGAATTATAAAGGAATAACCGTACGCAATACTGTAATTGTGTCCGATTCAGTCGTGCGATGATGGATATCGTCGCTGAAATGGAGATGGCGGCCGTTATTAATGGTCGAGTAACTTGTCGGTATAGGACCGGGCATTATTATTAACCCTCCTCTTTTCCTGACAAAGGTTGAAAATGAAATTCCAATGCGTACGTTTTTTCGTCGCTTATTAGTGGTGGAAAAAGAAAATATTTTACAATATCCCTTTTTTTTAATGGCATACCATGTGGTGGGAATCCACCCCTAAAAGACTGAACAAGAATGAGGGAAAATATGGCACCCAAAAGAGCCTAACATACTTTAACAAAACAACCCTTCCCTCTAACTAGACACGTATATGAAGGTTTTATCGATTAAGAATCAAGTGGTAGTACAATCACCCTTAAATCATCCAAAAATTCATTTTATAGTATTTTACATTATTAGCCAGGTAAGTGAACTGTCGATAGGAGAAGTTGACTGGCGAAGGAGCGCAGCCCACATATGAGGACTTCTTCCGCGACATCCAAGAAAGACGGTCGATAAATAGAGCAATGTATCGAGCCATTGTTACTGTTCAATAAACGACCATTGTAAATTGTTGTATAGTGTCTAATTTAGAGGTGTAACACCCCTCTTAATCCTTTATAGCGTTAATAAGTAATTTTACATTGATAAACACTATTGTTCATGAGGTAAATAAAAAAACCCTTGAAAAAAATACGGGTAGCCATTATGAAAAATTGCCACCATTTTAAAATATAACAAAACTTGGGCGTTACTTCTGCATCTTATATTAATGGCCTTACTTTAAACTACACGCGCACCAAAGGGCATATTTTTATCACAATTTGCAATTGCAAACTTATCGGTTCTTTTGTGTGGCTCTCACACTAAGCCGATTGCGTTAGCAAAACTGACTTTGAATGCTGTGGAAAAAAATACCTATTTTATTTAGGAAAATTTCCATACAAAGCTTCAACTGTATCATCTTAAAAGCGATCCAGTTTTCAATTTTTCTTAGAGGGAGCTTTTACAAAACATTGATTCCACCGATATCGGTAAGTTACTTTAATTGTTTTTGAATTGTATACAGTAATGATCGGTTATGAATTCAAATTTTGTTTAGCTATAAGGTGTGTATACTGATACGTATCCACGAGGTATGCTTCATTTATAGGAAACGAATTGCTCTTTAAATCAGGAAGAGTGAAAAGGAGAATAGAATTGGATCGTCTTTAGTTTGCCAATATATTCAGTTATTCATTTTGGAATTCGCATTTATTCGTATTTGGTTAAACGTCCGTGTCAAGTTTTGATTTTCAGATTTAAACAGGAGATAAAAGGGCAAATATCCGCAAGCTAAGGGGTATTTGAATTTTATTACAGAGCTAGCCGTGATAGAAAAATTTTTACCAGTGTCATAGAGAACCAATTTTACTGAATACAAGGATCTTGAACTAACCGTGACAGCAATTGAGTTTTGGAAGTGCCTTTTCTCTTCAAAGACAAATTCTTAAGAAAAAAAAATCCAAGCCATACCTTCACTCTGCAATCTCTCGCAGATAAAGTAGTTCGGCGCGGCACAATCGCGATCGTTCCACATAAAGCCATTAGTAAGCCGAGCCGGGGACGTTTGTAACGAATACACCCTTCGAACTTCCACGCAGTCCTGCTCGCTCAATCCGTCGTCGTTCGGTTGCCGATTGTAGTTTCCATGCTGAGACCACCCCGGAAACCAATCTAGAAACAAATTTAACATAACGCTCGGTGTCGGGGGCGGACTTACTCGTATAGGAAAAAGGTAGCCCATCGGACCATCTGAAATCACCCTCGAACGTTTTATCCGTTGCTCCAATCCAATACGCGTTGTGATCCCTGTAGCCCGGACTGTAAATAGAAAAATTCAGTATCATTAAAATTCCCTCGATAGGTGTCAACAGCTTTTGTAAGTAAGAGTAATGCATAGATCGCTCTGGGAAAACACATATCAAAGTTTGTAACGAGGTTATTGTGTCAACATCCTCTTTAATTAGTTACAAACTTGGGTTCGCTAAACAAACATAACGTTAAGTGAATTGATTGAACGAAGAGGTACACTTGAGGGTGCTTCGCGAAGTATACTCGACCCGAAGGAGATTGTGTATAAGCGGAACAAAACAACAAGTTGTTAGTGTATCTAATTAACAACCCCAATTCTTCTCGATTGTAAACTTCGCATTACCTACGTGACGGGAAAGCTCTCCGGGCGCACTCAATGAGAGACGTTCCTGAGTTTCAAGTAGGCATTAATTTGTAATGAATTTTAAGGGTAGGTACAGTTATTACTATTCACCAAACCCGAATTTGGTACATGAAAATTATCAGTCGCCCCTATATTGGGGTGCGTTGGTAGACGAAAATAAATGGCAAATATTTTTTGAGGGGCGACAATATTTCAGGGGAACATATAACGACCCAGAAATGAATATTAGGGGGTGAATTTTTTTTGTGAGCAAGTACTTATGTGATGCGAAGGTTTTACTTACAGGAAAACACTCGGAATGGACCTAAGGCGAAACACTCCGCAAACTAATTTTTTATTGAAGGGGAAAGGGCAACTATTTCGTGAGTGAATTTTTGTGTGGGAGAGTAGTGATCCGCTCAAAAACACAATCGCTTTATTTATAAATATTTCATTCGTAGACTAGATTTTAGTAAATTATGGCCGTTTGCACCGTTTTACTAAACATTGTTTAAAGTCGTAAACACTGTTTAGCAATAGACAGGGTTTGCACCGTACATTAATCAACGTTTAGAAAGGTGTAACCTATGTTTAATCTAAACGTCCAATTTTGGGCGTTTAAAGGTCTGATTAGTACGAGTATGTCATAATTTGTAGGTTATAGTAAATACTACCAGTATCTTTATTTTGATTTTCTTTCTGTGGTGTCATAAATTTTGATAAATTATGGATGTTGTTGAAGAATTTTTCATAGAAGATGATTTAGACATATTGGATATAGTAGAGTTTGGTTTCCCACGTAAAGTTTATACTAGGAAAAATCATTTCGAGGAGATGGATAACTTAACATTCTTTAAGCGCTTTCGTTTGACGAAAGATACAGTTCTGCAGTTGTTAGAATTAATCGAAATGGATCTCGAATACAATAACAATTTGTATGAAGCTACTACCTAATTACCCATTTGTTATCCTAAACTATACTTTTAGAAACAATAATGTAGCACCTATTGATCAGTTGTTAGCAGCGCTTAGGTTTTATGCAAGTGCTGGACATTTAAGTACAGTGGCTGATTTTATCGGCATGGATATCTCCACAGCATCACGGTTAGTTGCAAAGGTTACACATGCTATTGGTAGACTGTATCCAGAGTTTGTTAAAATGCCAGGTCCAAATGAATTAATTCAAGCGCAGAGAGAATTTTATCGTTTATCATCTTTTCCCAGAGTTATTGGTTGTGTTGATGGTACGCATGTCAAAATACAATCACCAGGTACTTAAGTAGTTTCTCATAATACCTGATGAGGTCAATATACATTTTCCAGGTGGAGAAGATCCGGAGGTTTTTAGAAACCGAAAGGGATATTTCTCTATAAATGTTCAGGGTACTTGTGATGCAAATTTGAAACTGTTAGATGTTGTTGCTCGCTGGCCAGGGTCTACAAATGACTCCACCATTTTTAATAACTCGAGGCTTAGAAGGCGATTTGAAAACAATGAGTTCCCAAACTGTTTATTGCTAGGTGTGTTGGCTATTGACAGTAGAACATACAAAACAGTAATTTTCTAGGCGATAGTGGCTATGTTGTTAGAAATTACTTTTTAACACCTCTTCTGAATCCACTAGCAAGAGGTGAAAGACTGTACAATGAAGCACATATTCGCACCAGAAATGTTATTGAAAGATGTTTCGGTGTGTGGAAAAGAAGATTTCCAGTTTTAGCGTACGGAATGAGATTGAAGTTGAATACTGTATTGCATGTTATAGTTGCTACAGCAGTTCTCCACAATTTAGCAAAATAAATGAATGAAGAGGAACCTCCATTACCTGATGATCTTAATCATGAAGAAGTAAATTATTTGATCAATATTGGCAATGTTGGCGATATTCCTAATATAAATGAAAACGTTCATGTGAATCACTTGCGGGGTCATTTAATAAGGGAGTATTTTACAAGACTGTAAATTGTTAATAAAATTTATGATGAAACATTGGAACTTTTATGAAAACACTTGCACAGTGATGAGAAATATACACACAATATCAAAATTACATTTACAAAAAGTACCAACTTAAAAATAATAATGATTTTTTTATAATCTCAATTGCAACTGCTTTAATTTTTCCTTTTCTACTTGAATCTGTAATTTAAGTAATTCCACTTTTAGTTCTCTTTCACGTTCTATACTTTTTAGTTCTTCTTCCATTTTCTTATTTTGATAATTGACCATATCGATTCTTTTGTCAAGGAGCAAATCGTACTTCTCTGCCAATTCTGATCTTGATAATGCCTTAATTTGGGTTGTTGGACGACGCCTTGAGGTAGGCAATGTTTGCCTTCTTTTTGGTGTAGGTGTACTGTCTAAGCAAATGAAAAGGCTATTTTACTTACAATGCATACGAGACTATAAATACGTACCTTCCACATTACTTTTTCTTTTCCCACTTCCTTTTTCATTTGAATGAATTAAATTAGAAGTAATTGGTTTCTGTAAATCGGATGGTATGTGTCTCCTCCATGTTATATTCTGAAAACAAGTAAGTAGTTTATAACAAATAATTTAGAGAAATTACAAACATAACAATATGAGAAAATAGGTCAATACTTACGTCCTCATCGTCGCTTAAATGTAATGATTCATACACAACATCTATATTATTATCTTGTACGTCTTCTGAAATATCTAAATCCACAGGCTACAATCACAATACAGTTCTATAAAAATGTAATGATTTTATATAGAAACTACCTCTACATTTTCATCTTGTTCTACATCACCATCATGATCATTTTCCAATCCATACACAGTTTTCGTATTCATAATCGAAAGGATAATGTCATGACAAGGTTCTTTTTTTGGTATGTTGATTTGGCCTCCTCCTGTCGCAAATACTTCCTTTTTTTCTTCTGCTGCAAGTTTTCTGACTTCTCGTTTACGATTTTCATAAAATCTTTTTAGCACTTCAGGTGCACGGTAAGTGGTACTCATGGCGTTCACTTCCTGGGAAATTTTCTTTTAAAATTAAAAAAAAGTATACACATAAATCAAAAACCCGTGCTCAGATAAATTTTAAAAATACCACTCTGTCAAACGTTCAAGAATGAAGAGACTATACAGGCATTAAAGTTCTAATTAGTTGTGGTCATACGTACTTCAACCTGATTTTTCGGACCTAATTACTTTTACCTTGTTACCCTATTCATCTTCCAGAAATAAAAGAAAGGATCTCATTACGATATTTCTCTTATTGTTTCTTTATGAAGTGCAATTTGTATTATCGGGGTCTTTTCAAATTTACCTTTAAATATAATATCTTAATTACTTATCCAAATTTAGTGCCATCTATGAAATGCATTGTTCTATTGTCATTTATACATACTCGTTTTGTCTAAAATAAATTTAATTCATTTCGTTTGTCACCCTTTTCAACTAAAGAAATAAAGAACAATTTTTTATGTGTCTTCAATAAGAAATCTTTATGTAAGGGAGCGTTAAAATTACTTCCTCTTTCTATTTTCATCTTGATCTTATAATGTAAATATTTTTAACTTTAGACTTATCACTTTGTTTGTGTACTGTATTATATGTTGATTCTGTTTTAATATTAAGAGTGTCTCAAAAGTAGCGAATATTACACATAATATTGTAGATATACTATAACTAGGTATAACTATTTGGTATTTAATTACTCCACAAAAGACGTTTCAGTTACCTTATTTTCTCAAAACGAAAGTGCAGTAGATAAAAATTATGTGTTCTTAAATTACAGGATTTAACTATATCAGACTCTTCATACAACTTCAAAAAAAAAACCAGCGTGATTATATTTAAGAAATGGAAATACTTAAGAATCGCGATGTGTTGAAAATGAAAGACCAAATAACTATTATTTGAAACATTTTTCCATGAAGTAGATGTTTACCAAGATGTGCAAGTGCACTACTACATACATTCTGTAAAGGCAATGGTCTAGTAGCCTCTTAAAAATATTTAATTTTAATAAACCAAAGATTTACAGAATTATCCGGGTGTGAATTATTCGGGAGCGAATTTTTCGAGTGCGAATGGTCCGGGTGCGAATTATCCGGAAGCGAAATGTCCACGGTGCGAAATATCCTGGGAGCAAAATGTGCGGGTGCGAATTGTCCGCACACGGTTAGATTTTGACATGTAATAAAGTTATGTTATGTTCGAGAGACTATCAACTCAAAATAAACTCCCTTTGGGAGTACGGCGAATCGGTAAATTTAGTATGTAACATGTTGAATTTATACATTGTATATTACTTTTGTTTAAAAGTACCTACAGCAACATAAATTCATAGTTAATGCGAAAAGGAGAACATGACCCTTCCTCCAAGTGTGTTATTAGACCTGCGGGATATATTAAAAGCGAGGAGAACAAAATAAGTTCACAGCCTCAGGTCTCGGCACAAAAATAACGTCCCGCAATGTCGTTATCGAGTGCGCGCCGTCGTAACGAGTGATCGATCGCGATTATAAGTGTCAATTAAGAATAGAACTAATTTGTTAACATAAACCAAATCGTGAGGGTGAGTACCACCCTTACTTGCCGCCGCAATGCCAACTGCTATCTGTGGTGTTTGTCGGGTGGATCTTAATCGTACAGATAAAGTTATTCTTTGTGCTAGTTGGTGCCAAACTTACTTTCACACGAAGTGCGTTAAAGTCAGTGACGATGAAGTTAAATTTATTAACTCAAAAAAGAACTTTAATTGGTTCTGTGACCTCTGCGCTATCCACGAATCACACAGCCTCAGGAATATGTTGACTAACATTAACAAAGTAACGATGAACTGGGATAGAGTTATGGAAAGTCAGCACGAGAAACTGATGAACCACGAGAAGTTATTAAAAGATACTTTAGACCAGGTAAATACCCAAAATGTCAGCATCAGCAAGGATCTAGCGCAAGTTCTCCAAACTCAATCTGAAGTGAAGCTTACGTATGCAGACAAGTTGAAACAGAAAACCTATGACCCAGTTATCATCGTTAAGCCCAAGGACGCGAACCAACCGTCCAAGCAAACCTTCACCACCCTCAAAGAAAATATCGATCCAATTACCCGAGAAGTTACCGGAATGAAAACTCTACGTAGAGGAACCATTGTTGTTGAATGTAAAAATAAAGAAGCTGCAGCCAAACTTAAGGAGGAAGCCGAAAGGAAACTGGGATCCGACTACATTCTTTCCTTACCAAAACAGAAGATGCCGAAGATTAAAATCGTAGGCCTCAATGACAAGATCGGGAGTACCCAAATGAAGGAAATGATTCTCGCGCAGAATCAATTCCTTGACGAAGCCGCGTACATAAACGTCGTACACATAACGGAAGATAAAAGAAATCCTAACAGGTATTTGGCTTACGCTGAGGTTGACGGTAATAGTTACCGGAAAATTCTAAATGAACAAAAGCTTAACATAGGATGGGACCGTTGCAGAATTTATGATGCTGTGACAACTAGAAGATGCTACAAATGCAATGGGTTCGGACATAAGGCAACTGACTGTAGCAAAACTACTACCTGCCCCAAATGTGCGGGAGCCCATGACCTAGCGAGCTGTAAAGCTTCGGACGCGGAAATCAAATGCAGTAACTGTGCCAACGCCGTTGAGAAACTAAAAATGAAACTGGATGTACAGCACCCGGCCTGGAGTGTTGATTGCCCAGTCTACAAAAAACGACTCGATCAAGAAAGAAGCAGAATTGATTTTTTAGGCCATCCCCAACACTAATCAACCAAGGAAATAGGTACGGATCAACGCTCTCAATCTATTATCAGAACGTAAGTGGAATGCGAACGAAAGCGCAATCTTTCAAAAATAAATTGGCAATTACAAATTACGACATTATTCTACTGACTGAGACCTGGTTAACGGAAAATTTTCATGACGCTGAGTATTTAAACAATCAATATGCGGTCTTTCGCAATGACCGTAATTACGAAGAAATGAAGTGCACCATGGGAGGCGGAGTTTTAATCGCAGTCAAGACCGATTTGAATGCTGAAAAATTGGAATTTCAAAGTGATCTAAATGAAATATGGGTCAAACTTAAAATTAATAATACTTCATACATTATTGGTGTTGTCTACTTTCAACCGAAATCTGGTATTGATAAGTACGTGAGTTTTACCAAAAGTTTAGAAACAATTGAAAACATGTTGCATTCATCGGAAGTGTTAATAGCAGGCGATTTTAACCTACCACAAATTGTTGACGCCACGTATAATTTCGAAAACGCGAGTGCTAAATGCAAAGTAATTAAAAATATAGCTTCGATGTACAACTTAAAACTCATTAATACGGTTAAACTTAAAAACTGCAATAATAGAACCCTTGACCTAATTTTAACTAACTTAAACGCGGAAATTAAATCTGCTGTCGACTCACTGGATAAAATTAATCCACTTCATCCTGCACTAGAAATAGTCTACAAAGTCCATAGACCAGCTAAGCGAATTACCAAGTTAACCAACTTCAATTTCAAAAAAGCAGATTTTCTTAAAATGTACGTCCTTTTTCGCGATATTAATTGGAAGGAGTCTCTTATCCTGAAGAATTTCAAATCGGTAGATGATGCAGTAACTAGCTTTAATCATATAATGAACATTTTCGATGAATGTGTCCCCAAAGTTACAATTAGGAGTGCCAATAAGTATCCTAGCTGGTTTAATATAGACATTATTAAGAAAATCAAACAGAAAAATAAGTTTCGGTTACAGGGCCAATCGGAAGACTTCATTGAAGCCAGAAAAGAACTCAAAAGGATGATCCACATTGCTCATAAGAGGTACATTAATCAAATTGAAATGGATCTGCGGAAGAATTCCAATAAATTCTGGAACTACATCAAGTCGTTGAGGAAGAATAGTCACTACCTGGAGTTTTTGAGTAGGTACAAAGACACCTCGTTAACGGACGCCAGAAGCATTGCGGACGCCTTTGCATCCTTCTTCGAGTCAGTCTACACTATGGAGAGGAACGATGACCCGGAAGATGACGTGGAATCGGACCTGCTGCTATCCAAATTGCACTTGACTCAGTTACATGAATCCGAGATACTGGAAGCAATTAAAAAATTGAAACCGAGGTCGGCTATAGGCGAAGATGGAATCCCACCCTACATCGTGAAAGGATGGGCATCTTTATTGGTAACCCCCTTACAACATCTATTTAATTTAGCTTTGCAAACATGTACATTCCCTGAAGCTTGGAAATGCACCAGAATAACACCAATTCACAAAAGTGGAAGCCGAAAATTAGTTAAGAATTATCGCCCAATTGCAATTATACCAGCAATAGCGAAAATTTTCGAAAGAGTGATCTATACTAGACTTTATTCCCATCTCAGCAGTATAATTGCAGATCAACAGCACGGTTTCACGCGGAACAGATCAACGATTACAAATTTAATGCAGTTTACGTACAATTTAATGATGAATAATGCTCGTAAGCTGAGAATTTCCCTCCTCTTTTACACAATTTAAAGCTTAAAAGTTTTCAGCGCAATTAAAAACACCAGTTCTTAATCCTCTTTGCGTTCGTGTTACAAAACGTAATGTCTGCAACCCGTAATAGGATTATACAAAATACCCTTCCTTAACTAAAGGCTTAAAAGAGAAACTAACCTGTTCAGAAGCAAATTATTAACTAGATTTTGGGTCCTTTCATTTCTTATGCTGATGAGATGTCCCCCCTTTCTCGCGCATTCCATTTCCGCCTGAGCCCAAGGTAGCTTGGACGTTTCGAATGCACCGACGCAAAATTGCCTCAGCGCGATCCAGCCGAAACCGCATCTACCCACAATCTCGTCCACGGCCTCCGCTTTGTAAATCATCCTCAGTCCCAAAGCACTTCCACTCGAACTTCGCACAGACACTCTAAGCACCACTTTATTTTCTCTCGAGAGTATTTGAATTTGTTTTTCGGCATCCCCCGGTCTCGTACAATGCCACCAGGCGCTTTCGCCGTCCAATAGCTGCGTTAACAGCCCTTCGCATTTTATGTCGCCACTTTTGCGCTCTTGTAAATCGATCGCCGTATCGGGTGTACCTGTCGAAGTGCTATCGCCAATTTGTAAAGTCAAAGCGACACGATTTCCGTAGGGCAAATAAATTTTAAACGTACATTCGAGATCGTCGCTCGGTTTTAATTCGAACGAGCCGTTTCGACCTAGAAACGTCATGTTGTAACAATAATCGACAGTCCTGTACGAAAACGCGAACATCGGACTGCCGTGTAAATGTAAAAATGGGGCGGTGTGCGACGATGGAAAGTAAATGTGTCGATCTGTATCCGAGAGCTCTTCCAGTTTGCCGCAGAGATGAGCCTGCTTGTGACTACGAATGTACTGATGCTGAGACGTGTTTAGACCGGAAAAGTGAAGATAACCCCTTGCACATGGAACGTTTAAACGTACAAGGACAATCGCCACTCCTCTTCGTTCCTCGTGACCGGGAAACCATGCCTGGCAGTCGAGTCTTCGTGGAAAGTCCTTCCAACTCACAGAAGCTTCATTCAACTTCAGCCATAACCAGCAGTCTGAAAAAGATGAAAGATTTACAATTATTAAATTTGACAATTGTTTATATGAATGTATTCAAGTTCATTTGAATTTGGGGGGTATAAAGTTGCAGAAAAGGACGACTCTGTCTTTGATTGCTAAATGTACTAAACCCTGTAAGAAATCCCATGAAAGATAAGTGGCAGGTTTTCGTGAGTGAGTCCGAATCTTTTTTACATATTTCCTCGAAGACTTTTAGACGTTCTTAAATGGTTTTAAGAGATCCTCAAAGAATCTTCAAGTATTCCTCAAAAGCTCAATTACTTTTTCAAGTATAATTTTCCAAGGATAATCTCAATATTGATCCTTAAATATTATTCAGGTTGGTCAAATATTTTTTAAAAGACCAGGAGACATTGAAATATGCGGAAGGAAAAGTTTTGTAAGTTTAAAGACGGTTAAGGTTTCAATGTTATGTTCAAGTTTTTATTTTGTCGAATATATTTCAGCGAGCTTTATCACACTTGACGGAAAATTGTTTCGTTTTACACGATAAAAAGAGGTCACTTCTAACACTGTAAATTAAGCTTCCTTGGGAAAGAGATAAGAAAATTAACGAAACATCGCCGCCATTGCTTTCCACCACGAAATAGGCGTTTTAACTCAGCTTAGTATAGAAAAAGATGATGAGGTTTGCGTGAAAAAGTCTCGTTTTGGCATCCGAAGAGTCAATACTGGCCAGTACGTCGTTTAGGACACGGCTTTCAATTATAAAGAATGCCAGCTTAATATCCCGTGTAAAGTGAAACTGCGATAAAGAAAACTGTTGCCAAAGTCAGATTACATTTACGTTCATTTAGTGCGGCTAAAGTTAAAAGTGAACAGTTTTACTGAACGGATTTCCAAAATATTCAACGAACAGATTTCACGAACAAACCTTTAAAATCGAGTTTATGCTAGTGGTCGTTTTGTGGTGGTAACCCAAAAATAGTTGGTTCAAGGTGGCATGGATTATTGCTTATGATTTAGTTAGTAGCTACAAGTGGAAGACTAGGGTCGAACCTGTTGATATAATCAAAATGTAGCTTTATTATTATATTTAAATAAAGTACGTAAATAAAACCCAAGATAAATCATTACATGGCGATCCTGCAAAAAACTATCTTAAAAATTTTAATTTAGGCGGAAGCCGAGGTGGAAACATTACACAAATCCTGGTCTGATCGAAAAAGTACGAATTGATTTGGATTCTACGCACCCAAATTATTAAGAAAAAGTGTTTTCCCGAGAAATTTTGGTGTAATCGATTTTTGGTAAAAAAGGAAGGTTATACACTGCCTTTTTTTGAGCCCCGAAAAAAAAATTGTCTCAGATCGACCCGGAAAA